TAATAATGGTACATAGGGGTCACATCCTTCATTGGATCATAGTGTGAACTTAGTTCTCCTCCGTGACAATTGTTGGAGTCCTTTTAAAATGACTTAAAAGTTGACCTCAAGGTTGTGCGCACAACCCAAGGTACAGTTCTACCTTGAGATAGTATGATAAAAAAAGTTAATGTACCAATAAAATGAAATGAATGTTATGAAAATGTAAAATAATACCCAAGTAAATGGGGGGCCCATATTTATAAAGTACCCGCGTGATAAATATCACGAAATAAAATATAAATGAAGTGAATTAATACTCCGATTCCCGATATCTAATAAATAAATAAATAAGTGAATAGAATTACGAAAACAATTAAGCTAGCTAAAAGGTCAAAAGGAATAAATTATTATGAAAGGAAAGAAAGTATGTACATACGAGAATTATAAAAGAAAATATAAATACATATATGTATAACTTAAGGCCTAATAATTTAAACAAAGTAAATAGGATTAGTCGTACTGGTATGAAATTAAGTACAATGAAATGAGAAAACTTTAAATCATAAAAGGACATGACAAAAAATAAAATGTGTTACATACAAGGTATTAAGGGGATCCCCGAACAAATCTATAAAGTGAGATAGGTAGTTATTTGCATTTCTTACTAGGATGCTACCCAAAATGCTACCTACTAGTTGCACATGTAGTACCTATGGGATCGATCCACATAACTGCATGTATAATTAAATAAATACCTAATATAATACACGTGTTATAATCATATAGCAAATAATATACTTTATCCATAATCGCAATAATTTAGAGTATAGGGCTTAAAATAAAATAAAATCATAATATAAATTATTATTGCAATAGGTACATATTATACACGTAATAATAATAATTACGTTATAAAAATAATGAATAGTTATAAAAGATTGTTTCGTATTATATAGAATCAATTAATCAAAGTTCAAAATTCAACATAATAAAAAAAAAATAGGAAGGAGATGTTGAAATAAATTAGAGATACGAACGTAATCAGAGTAGAGTATAAATATTATATTTATACAATAAAGTACAGTGCATGGCGCACATTTCAGCCAACTAACAATTATTTAATACTCACAAATTAAACATGTTGTAATTATAGACACACTACCGCATGTACACAAAAACATCAATAATTAAATATGAAAAAAAAAACATTTTCGCGCATATATTTCGCGTATATTTTATATGAATTTACAAGATTTTTTTTCCTTAAAATAATAATTTAACCTTGAATTTTATATTTTATATTCTGTTTTTTTGTTTATGTAAAAGTTGAACAGTTTTCAATTAAATTTGGTTAATATATTATTTTTAAAATCAAGTCGAAACAGTATCGATCCGCTATTACTTATATAAGTTTCATAATGTAATATTTTTTTCTTTTATAGACAATAAAACCAAATATTATGTTATTATATACCAAAAATACTATACAAACATATATTTTGCTATATAAACTTATATTTGTGTAATAACCTATGTTTTCATAAATCTATATTTCAAATGAGATAAACACATTTCTTAGGAGTCATGTAATCTTAAAAAGGTATTAATGCGTTTACGACTTTTAATGATAAATAACATTTATAATAATGAATACTTGGTAATGTATGTAAATTTATTATGACACAATGCAATGTAAAATATTTAATACGTAAATTAAAAGATGTTTAATGCCAGAATTTTCAGATACATTTTAAGTGTATTCATAATAAAACATTTTGAAAGTTATGGTAAAATTTTGTAATAAAGAATATCTGATAAAGAAGTTAAATAAATACCTAATAGTTAACTAAATGTAAAAATAAAAAATAAATCAAGCTAAACTATTGAACCGAGTAAGCAAAACGTGTCCTTCTCATTGACACATTTCCTTATATCTCTATATCACATGTTTTTTTCCTATAGTAAATTTTATTTAAATGTAAGATTCAATTTGAAAAGAGTTAAAACTATTAAGTATTAATTATAAGTGTTAGCTTTTCTTTTCTTTTATAAAAGCAAGGACCTTAAATTTATGTAATAACCTACTTAAAAACAAAAATTGTTCTTTTGAATGTTTAAATTTTTAATGTTTTGTTGTGTAAAGTTGATATGTGTTACAGTGATTATTCAATTATTTTCTGTAAACGATATAGTAAATATCATACTCCCAGAAATTGTAATTAAAAAAAAAATAACGCATTTTTTTTTTATGGATGTAAAATTAAAGTAACCATCTAAAATTATGTATAAATAAGAATCATAAAAATAAATCTATTAATTTACACGTATCCATATATGTATGTAATAATAACATCATACGATGTAATCGCAAACTTTCCCATAAACGTACTTTGGAATTGAAAACAAAAGTGTCACAAATCGATTACGCAGCTGGGATCGCAATTTGTATTTTGATCTGTCTTTTGTTATGTGATTATGTTATTGTTATTGAAAATGATTACGTGGCTTAACATTGACTTCTTTGTTCTGTTCATCTTAATATGAAATGAAATAATTAAATTTTTGGTTAAATTGAATGACCTCAGTAAATTATAAGATTTATAATATATTGAAATTATTCTTTTAGGAAAGCATTTAAGGGATTTAAATAGTTTATTTATGATATATGATTAAATAGTGAGCCTCGATTCTTAAAAATATGTATACGTAAAGGAAATAATTCTTCTCTCAAATGACATATAATTTTATGACTAAGTTAAGTTACTCGTACGTAACTATTTTATTAACTGAAATGAGAATCATAGAAAGGACTATATACATTGGCCATGTTCTTAATGATGTATACGCGAGCTGTGTACGTGAAAGAAAAGACACAATTATTTGATGAATATTATTATTAATGATATTTAATGCCATGCAGTAAAATGAAAAATAAATAATAGTTACCGAAGAATAAAGTAAATATATAAAGTTAATAAAAAAGTGAATTAAATAAAAGTATCTTGAAATGTAAAACAAAATATAAGAAAATATTTTTTAAAGTTTATAAAAAAAAAAATGTAATCATTAATTTTTTTTTATTTTTTGGTCGGTGGGAGGTGTAGTGCCCTGTAGACTCCCCTTTACCTCCGACAATATACATTTATAAAATTAGTATTAAGTATAGAATAGAGAACAGTATAATTAAAGTTCTTGTACAAGCAACACGTCTCCTTCATTCAGCACCTTCCGAGTTCCGACATTACATCAGATACCATTAATCTCTGTAACAACGGGAACCAGGGCTGTGAAGGCCAAAATGGAAAAACAAAAATACCGTCTGCCTTGTCATCTACAATTTTTCTCAAGCACTTTAAAATAATTGAAAAAGGCGGAAAAGCATAAAAGTAGCAATTATTCCAATTAATAGTAAACGCATCTACAGCCATTGTTTCTGGATCCGGTTTCCAGGACACAAAACTTGGACATTTGGCGTTGGTACGAGAGGCAAATAAATCAACTTCCGGTTGGCCAAAATGCGACATGATGGAGTGAAAGGCGCAGTCTGATAACTCCCATTCGGTATCTGGGTTTACAATCCTTGATTCAGCGTCAGCGCGGTTATCTTTTGTATTGACGTATGATGCATAAATAACTATGTTGCGCTCTTCACACCATCGCCAAATTCGACGTGTAATATCATTTAAATGAGGGAACTGAATCCCTCCCATTCGGTTCACATAGCTTAAAGCTGTGGTATTATCGACACGTAATAGAATTGAACAGTTTGACTCATTGCATGATAAGCTCTTTAGACCTAGAAAAATTGATAACAATTCTAAATAATTAATGTGAAATTCACGTTCACTCACTGACCACTAACCATGTGCGCGATTTTCGCTGCAAACTGCGCCCCAGCCTGTTTGAGATGCGTCAGTGTAAATCTCCATTTTAAAACCAGCATTTCGCATATGGTTTGATGTAGTAAGTGCACTTGAACTCCACCAGTTTAAATCTGGAGAAACAGTTTTTGGAATTTCCATTTCTTTTTCATAATTGTTATTTTTCAATAACGCAAGAAACTTTTGTCTTTCTAACATCTTAGTGTAAAGCCAACCATACTTAACTGCTGGACAAGCAGCAATAAGTACTCCAATCAATTGTGCAAATTCACGGATAGTGCAATGAGATATTCGCAAAAACTTTTGAACCAATTGAATAATACTAGTACGTTTCTCTTCCGGAAGAGATATTGTCAAATTTGTGGTGTTAAAGATAAAACCTAGAAATTTACACGTTTGATTAGGTTGTAAATAACTTTTGTCGACATTTATAATAAATCCTAAACACTTCATTAACTTTAATGTGTCATTTACATTGGTAGAACACATGTGGTAATTACTACCTATACAAAGAGTGTCGTCTAAATAGATAACAGAATCATGACCACGACTTCTCAAACAGGAAATTACTTCTCTCATAATTTTTGTAAAAACCCTAGGTGCCACAGAAAGTCCATAGGGCATAGCTGTAAATTCATAAGTGACTAATATTTTCAAGAGTTTCGAATTGAAATCGTAAATACTTCCTATGTCGGGGATGGATTGGCGCAAGTAGGTATGCTTCTTTTAAGTCGATTGTAGCTAAATATCCATCTTGTGGTATTAATTTAGAAGCTGTTCGGTAGTCTTCCATTTTGAAATGGGGCTTTGAAATAAATTTATTTAATGATTTTAGATTTAATATGAAGCGTTTACCTCCGTTTGGTTTCGGTGCAAGAAATATCTTTGATATAAATTGGCCCTTGCTCGGAGAACATTCAATAATAGCCCCTAGCTCTAACAATTTATTAATAGCAACAGTCATATCAAGTTTCTCCGATCGTGAAAAGAAACAACGAGGAACCAATTGCTGAATGGGTTCCTTACAAAATGGTATAGAAACACCGTTAAGTACCCAGTCTAACACTTCCTTATTAGAAGTAATGCCTAGCCAACAATTATAAAAGTAATGAATTCTGCCAGCGTGTACCTGAGTTATTATGTGGTCGGCGCACGCGCCTTGCTCGCGGTCGCTGCTAGTTGTGCGGGAGGGCGCGGCGGCGTCGCTGTGCTCTGGTAGCGACGGCTGCCACTGCCTCGTTTCGACCCTCCTCGCCCGCGACGAGGAGGGGCTGTCCAGTTTCCCGAACTGTATGGACGAATTCCCGGCGACTGTGACGAATTAAGAGCCTTTGAAATATTCGTCTTTTTAATTTGTAAACCTTGTTTTTCTATTGCTTTTGCTGCCTTAATTTTCTCAGAAAGTTTATTACCAAACAAGGTTTCGTCCCTTTCTGTATCCTGGATCACGTGATGGAAATTCTTGTCAAGACTCGGAGTAATAAGTTTTATACGAGTCAGAGTGGATGTTGCATGCAGGTCAGACAATATACGACAGCCATTACTGAGATGTTGGATGGCTTCCTTTTTATTGTCCCCCCTTAAAAGCAAATCCAATGCTCTATTTATGGCCGTAATGCCACAACCGAGTTGTTGTTGATGAAATGAAAGTCCTTTGTCTCTGTTACGGACTACTTCCGGAATGGCCGAAAAAATTTCTCCATTTATTTTCGGGGCTTGTAAAAACCGGCAATTATCTGGTATCAGGTATTGTTTCATAATCTTATCTTTATTCTCTTTAGTCATGCCTTTTGTCAGTAAAGGGAGCCATAGTTTTGCCAAACTATCATGAATTTTAGGTCCAAATTCAGGAGCGGCATCTGTGGGTTCACCTAGAGCCTCCAATAAATCAGGGTCTAACTCCAATTCATACGATAACGCCTCTAAAGACTGTCCGGCCTCATTTGGCTCGGCAGCTGGCATTGGCAGTGGATTCTCTGGCATAGAAATAGGAATTTCTGCCATGAGTTCTGCATTATCACAAGGTGATGCTGCCTCATTATCACGTGGTGTTTCTGCCTCAATATCTCGTGGTATTTCTGCCTCAATATCTCGTGGTATTTCTGCCTCGGGGGAGGCACCCGCAGCATCGTTCCATGATGGATCTATTTTTCCCGAAGGCGGTCGGTGGACCTCGGCGATTGCTATGCGCTGCGTTGTTTCGCCACAACCTAAAACATAGGTTTTAGGGTTAATTAAGTCAAGAATTAACACTAATGTTAATTAGACGTTGTCATCACTTATCGTTGAAAACTCGCAGTCAACCCCGATAGGACTTATACAACGTTATTATTTAATGTCAACTCCTTGTACAGAAGTTATGTGGGTATGACTCGCAGTCAGTCCCCATAATTTGCGAAACAGAGGCAAATTATAAAAAAGAAAATAGTAAAACTAACCTTCATTTGCTTCGGAAGAATCACTCGAAATAACACGCACTCGCCATCGTCGTCGTACAACACTTTTTTCAGCTGTTAATCTTTGAATTTTCTTTAGATAAAGATCGATTTTTTCGTCAGCACTTCGTTTCGGCATTGCTAAAACTTAACTTTGTTACGTATAAATGTAGTTATATATTTTTTAGGAAACTATCACAACTTCCAGTAAAATGCGTGTGGTCGTCACCATGCACGAAAAAGGAATGAGCTCTCAGCGGCACGGCTCCGCTTGGCAAGACAAGACATTAGCGGAAGTATGCCGCCACTTTTGTTTTGAGTCAATTGACTGTCTCTTAAAGCGTGCAAAGTTACCTGTAGGTTTAAGTTACTACGTGGTAAATATTATATCTGAAAAATGAAGCGATGAAATATAATTGTTGTTGGATCTTGTTAAATAGCAACATTGTAACGTTGAAACACCTCAGTCCCCCGAGGTAATTGCTTGAAAACACTGAATATGTTGAAAATTTAAAAGGATATTCAACTAAACGCGATGAAATTCATAAATATAGTTTTATTTAATGTTGAAATAACCTTCATAAGTCCACTGCTGAACATAGGCCTCCTCCAAGGAATGCCACAAAGCATGGTCCCGAGCCACCTACATTCATTGACTTCCTGCATGTCTTACCAGGTTATCACTGCATCTAGTGGGGTGATGCCCTACACTTCGCCTACGAGGCTGCCACTCAAGACCTTTTCTTCCCCATCGGTTGCCAGTTTTTCGAGCTATATGGCCGACCCATTGCCACTTCAGCATGCTAGTTCTTTGGGCTATGTCGGTTACTCTGGTTCTACTGCGGATATCCTCGTTTTTAAGTCTATCACGCAGAGAAAAGATGAGCATTGGCGTCTTTATAGCTCGCTGAGCGACTTTGAGCTTCCTCGTATGGCCAGCAGTGAAGGACTACGTCTCAGTTCCATAGGTCGTCACTGGCAACACGCACTGGTTGTACAGTCTCGTTTTCAAGGTTTGAGGTACATCTGACGAGAAGATGTGTCGTAGTTTACCAAAAGCAGCCCAGGCGAGGTGAATCCATCGATTGACCTCTCGGTTGAAATTGGACTTACCTAGTCGGACTATTTGTCCCTGATAAACATATTCGTCAACAACTTCGAGCTTAGTGGGCCCAACAGCTATATGTACCGGTATAGGTGTGATATAAATGTTAAACATGATTTTTGTTTTGTCCATGTTCATTTTAAGACCTATCCGTTGGGAGACACTATTGAGATCATTGAGCATAGTGCTTAGGCCCTCCGGCAATTCTGCCATAAGGACTATACCGTTGGCAAATCGAAGTTGAGTGATGTACTAGCTTGAAAATGACTTCCAATGCAACGGTGAAGAGTTTCGGGGATAATACGTCACCCTGTCTTACACCTCCCTGCAGTTGGATAGGTTTCCTACCCTGGTTCTGTACTCTGATAGCCATCGTAGTACTCTGTACAAACACTTTAGCATTTTGATATACCAACAGCCTACTTGGCACCGCTGAAGGGACTGCAGCACCGCCCAAATTTCGACGGAATCAAAGGCTTTCTCATAGTCCACATACGCAAGGCAAAGTGTCAGATTGTACTCTTTGGTCATCTGTACAATTTGCTGAAGGGAATGTATGTGGTCTATGGTGCTAAGCTTCACTTACAGATTGAATGAGAGGGAATTTGTCATAATCAACATGTTTTTCCCGGAATGTTGAGATAAGAAAAATGGAACAGATAGAATCACTTTGGGGTCTGTTTTTCGGAGATTTCGGAATTTAGCACAGATATGTGTAATAATGTTATTTATGGTGCAAAGTATAAAAAGAAGAAAGGGATAAATTTGTATATTGGAAAAATTTTTTTTTTTTATTTGGGTTTGGATTTAGACTTTTCGGAAACCGGATTGTTCGGGAGGCTGGAAGTCGTCGAGTCTGCATGCGAGACGATTCATAATGACTGTCGAAAACACCACGTAGACGCCGCTCAGAAGGGAAATCGGTCTGTAGTTCTTCAAGAGAGCGTTGTCGCTTTTCTTGAAGAACAAGACAACTGCACTTCTGCTCCACGCCTCCGGAGTAATGCCACCATGGAGGACAGAATTAAAGAGCTTCAGAAGGACTTCAAGTACCGGTTTTCCACCCGCTTTCAGAAGTGGAATTGATTATTTTCTTTTTTTTATTTGGAAACCTGTTTATCATTTATAGTAAAAGACTAATTGTTACCCAGGCAATTAATTCATTTTGTAAATTTATGTTGATTATAGGGAAAAGGACACCTTTAACAAATACTTTTAGAATGTATTATTCTAATTGAATTACTATCCTGTGAGCCGCATACTCTTTTTCCCATCTTCTATAAAACATTTCATAGGTGGAAGAGCTAAGCTTCTCTGACCAGAAAAAACGCCCATACAGAATTCCAGAGTGAAATAGTAGCAGTATGCCGCTATGTGTTGGTAAATTACGAGAACCAGAAACTCTTTTTATTGGTAAAAACGCATCCCATCTTAGTGCTTAACGGTAACATCACAACTGAATTTTAATTTTTAATCGGGGATAAATGAGGTGTCTTTACTTTAATCATCCACTTACCATCAGGTGAACTGTATGCTCGTATACAAACCTAAATTCTAAAGAAATAATTATTTATATAAAAAGTCATAATGCAAAATGAACAGGTGCTAAGTAAATATTGTACTTCTCATTATAAGGCGTCAACCTTAACTTTCCGGGGACTTTGACACCCATGAATATTGTTCTGTTAGTCTTGATAATTGTAAAAACGTTTTATTTTCTTAATTTTTATTTGCCACTCTAAAGTTAACGTGGCAAAGCTTTTTCCCTTTCATGTTTTTGCAGAGTGAGTGTTGATAAAAATGTTCTGAGGGATAACTTTAAAGGTTTCGTTAAATATGTTGAATTTTTTCCGCCTAGTGCTCAGTATTACATAATATTGCTTAAAATATATAATACATATACGAGTATGTTTGGACGCGGAAATTTACCACATCGACAATTCCTCATAGTCTTCTTAAAGTGGTTTCCACACCGTGACTCAGGTTTCATCTCATTATGCTAATCATAGATATTAAATGATATACTAATGCATGAAGAAAAAAATCAAAGTATATTTAATACATTATATAACCTGTTGGTACAGAAGCACTCCCCCATTTCACCTAGTGTAGTAAGAGGCGACTATGGGAAATCACAGAATTATCTCATGGCTCGTGGTAAGCGGTAAGGCGAGCTGCTATTTTTAATTCGTGATATGAGACAAGTTGTACATAACATAGACTATTTATATTTTACTCAATTTTAAACGAATTGCAGTATAAACCTTTCAAATTTTAGACTAGCTACTGTTCATGCAAAGTGATTTTTGTGAGAATTCCAAATTTTATGACAAAGCTAATTTTTATGGGAGTGACAGGATAGACTAGCCCACCTTGCAATTTAAATATTATACTAAATTACAAGTACGAAAGTGAAATACTACTACTTTGGAAAATATGGAATACTTGTTATAACTTTAATTTATCGACGTGTTAATTTCATCTGAGCCTTACTACTTTATCATAAATTAGGGAAGTGTTTGAAACAAAATCAATTGCCCTCGATTATTTATCGAGCTTTAACGTATTACGATAAAAGAAGCTTTGATGTTTACGAAATTCTCCACGCTGGTTTTCAGGTGCGGCGTAAGAGGTGGAATAATATATTTTAATATTTTGTTGTAAAGAAACGTATTCCGGTACTGTTTTATATGATTTAATTTATTGTCATCACCATGAGACTACAAAATATAAAGAAATAAATATTTTTTTTATATAGGATAGGGTGACAAACGAGCACACAGGCCACCTGATGGTAAGTGCTTGCTGTGACCCATAGACATCTACATTTATTCTCAATAAAGAATCAAAATGCAGATGCATCGTCACCCGTGAGGACTAAGATGGAATGCCTCTTTTCCAGTAAAATGGGTCTCCGGTTCTCTACACTCACCATACGTAACACAGCAATGATAAGCTGCCATTTTACGCTGGTATTCTGTGAGAGCGTGGTCCTTCCCCGCTCGAGCCGACTCATTCGTGCTACAACTATACTATTAATATAGCTGCAGCATGGCTCTACCACGTATAGTACTTAATTACTGTATTGGAATACATGCTCTGTTATGATTATGCCACACGAATTTCCTAACGTCATATGCGAGTTGCCATTAATAAAATCATTATTTTTGGCCAGTACTAAGATTTATGATAAGTTTTTTGGTGACACAAGATGTACCATATATAAACAACTAGTAAAATTAAGATTTTTGTACAACCGACTTCAATATAATTAAAACGAAAACATTATCAATTGAGTCGAAGTCAATTAAATATGCACTATCTGTATTAAGGATAACTCAAAAACTACCGGTCAGATGTTGATCAAATTTATATAGGACTACATAGAAAAAAGTTCTGAAGTAAGGATTATTAAAAAAAAACTGTTGATTTGAGAACGTCCCCTTTTTTTGAAGTCGGTTAAAACAGTAAAGTGCAAATAAAGTAATCACACACAGGACACAAAATCACTGAAACTAAGGACGTTGGCCTCTGTATTACGCCACTAGTCGATCATAATTAATGTAATAAATGTGCAAAAGATTCCCTTCCTAATCGTTATCCAATAGACAAACTGTCTAAACGTGATTTAATAAGCATTTGAAAACGATTAGTGATTTTGAATGTTGCAAATTCTCTGGTTGTCCTGACTGGTAACATAAAAGGCCAGTATCAAATAGAACGTCCCACGAATATAAATCATGCACGGATTCATCCTGCTTAAAAATTCGAAACACGTCGAACGGAACTTGAAATTTCTACGGTTGCAATCGCAAAGGAAATGGCAAAACAGTTACTCCAGTGAGGTAATAAATTTAGTATCGCAAATTAATAATTCTGGTACAATTTAAAAATAAATTATGATTACGTTCTTTTTCTTTATTTACCGACTTGAAAAATGAGGAGGTACTCAATTCGACCTAATGTTTTTTTTTGTGTGTTACTCATAACTTTTTTCTCAGTGAACCGATTTCGATGATTCTTTTTTTATTTGA